TCATGTCGTCTTTAGTCCGAACATCTGTCCTATATGAAGCCTTCACCCGACGCTTTTCTGGGTGCATTCTGTACCTTTCTTCCCAAATGTGTTTAATATATATGAAAATGTATGAACACGAAGAAAATTTTAAAATAATATATGAGTTCTTTTGTGTATATATATCAACTCGCTGTGTATACTTGTGAATATGGATTTAAACATACACGAAAGCTCTCAAGTACTTCATTTTAATTTTCCGTCGTGTTCATTTGTTTTCACATAATTCATCATATTTTAATTTTTATTCATGGTTTACACACACACAGCGTGTGTGGCCGTGTCATGCGTGGTGGCCGAGCGGACAGCACGCTGGACACGTGATCCTGTGATCCCGGATTCGATCCCGGGCGCCGGCGAGAAACGAATGGCAGAATTTCTTTCACCCTATGCCCCTGTTACCTAGCAGTAAATAGGTACCTGGGAGTTAGTCAGCTGTCACGGGCTGCTTCCTGGCGTGTGTGTGTGGTGTGAAAAAAAATAGTAGTAGTAGCAACAGTTGATTGACAGTTGAGAGGCGGGCCGAAAGAGCAGAGCTCAACCCCCTCAAGCACAACTAGGTGAATACACACACATACGCACGAACACACACTGTGGCTGAGTGGACACCGCTTGGGATTCATTTATCCAAAGGGTCCGGGTTCGATCCCCGGCGCCGGCTGAAACAAATTAGCAGTTCTTTCACCCTGATGCCTCTGTTACCTAGCAGTAAATAAGTACCTGGGAGTTAGACAGCTGCTACGGGCTGCTTCCTGGGGTTGTGTTATCTTGAGGTTCTCTTGAGATGATTTCGAGGCTTAGCGTCCCCGCGGCCCGGTCCTTGACCAGGCCTCTTTTTTGCAACCCGTTCTCGCACTTGCTTATAGTCAATATTGGTTTATTTAATACGTGCATATGTGACATACTAATTGATTGTGAATACTTTAGTTTACCTTGAAAAGCTTCATAGAAAACTCCGATCTCACCTAACCTTCTTAGTATGTTAAGATAAGCATCTTATTGCTTCTTAATTACAATTATTACTTAACCTATAACGTTGATAGGTTAAGTAATAATTGTAAATAAGAAGCAATAAGATGCTTATCTTAACATACTAAGAAGATTAGGTGAGGTCGGTGTTTTCTATGAAGCTTTTCAAGGTAAACTAAAATATTCACAATCAATTAGTATGTCACATATGCACTTATTAAATAAGCCAATATTGACTATAAGCAAGTGCGAGAACGGGTTGCCTTTTTGTTACACCCCCCCCCCCCGGAAGTAGCCCGTAACAGCTGTCTAATTACAAGGTACCTATTTACTGCTAGGTAAGATGTTTCTTTCACCCTGATGCTAGGAGCATCAGGGTGAAAGAAACTCTGCCCATTTGTTTTCGCCTCCATTGGGGATGGAACGCGGAACCTCAGAACAACGAATCCGAAGAACTGTCCACACAGCCTGACAGCTGAGTGGACAGCTCTTCGGATTCGTGTGTGAAAAAAAAAAAAAAATAATAAGTTGATTGATTGACAGTTGAGAGGTGGGCCGTAAGAGCCAGAGGTCAACCCTCGCAAGCAGAACTAGGTAAACAAGGTGAATACATACACACACACACCTATATATATATATATATATATATATATATATATATATATATATATATATATATATATATATATATATATATATATATATATATATATATATATATATATATATATATGTCGTACCTAGTAGCCAGAATGCACTTCTCGGCCTACTATGCAAGGCCCGATTTGCCTAATAAGCCAAGTTTTCCTGAATTATTATATTTTCTCTAATTTTTTTCTTATGAAATGATAAAGCTACCCAATTCATTATTTATGAGGTCAATTTTTTTTTATTGGATTTAAAATTAACGTAGATATATGACCGAACCTAACCAACCCTACCTAACCTAACCTAACCAATCGTTAGAGGTTAGGTTAGGTTAGGTATCCGAAAAAGTTAGGTTAGGTTAGGTTAGGTAGGTTAGGTAGTCGAAAAACAATTAATTCATGAAAACTTGGCTTATTAGGCAAATTGGGCCTTGCATATTAGGCTGAGAAGTGCGTTCTGGCTACTAGGTACGACATATATATATATATATATATATATATATATATATATATATATATATATATATATATATATATATATATATATATATATATATATACACACACACACACACACACACACACCACACACTTGCATAAACCACAAGTTATATTAACACAGAAACTCTTCCTCCATGAGAGAATTCAAACCCAGGCTAACCTAGTGGCCAGCCAGTGAAGAAAATAGCTATAATGTGCGTTCTATATTGCTTTAAAAACGGTTAACTCATGCTCTAATCTATTCTTTTTAAGACAGTAATGCTATACCGTATATATATATATATATATATATATATATATATATATATATATATATATATATATATATATATATATATATATATATATATATATAACCGCTATATCGCTTTCTATTCTAT